CAAATCGCGCTGCTCTAATCGCGCTTGAGGCGCCGCAGCACTTCCCGACGCTGATTGAAGCGCGTCCACCATAGACTTTGTATGTAAACCTGMKGCTCCTGAYGCTGAAATCGCGTTTGGTGTGAACGCACCATAAATGTTAGAGGGATGTAGTTCTCAGTTGTGCAGAAGTTTGGAAGAAGTAGACAGAATTACTTTCAGACTACTGAAGCATTATGCCCCTTTTCCACTAGCTTCTTTACTCAAATTGACTCAATTCAGTTTAGCACGGTTCAGGTGATTTTCCAATACACTTCAGGCCATCCCAGAATCAGAAAATTGATGCCACATGCTCATGACAGCTGGTGGCATTTATGCTCCATTAAACTATTTGCCAGACACCATTAAACGTAGTAGAAGAAGACCTCAAGTACAGCGATGGAGGACATGGTAGCGTTGTTAAACATTCTGCTCAGATGCCAAAATAAAAAGAGACCAAGCTGCAAGGCTGCAAGCAGTGAGGCTATTGATGGCTGCCACATACCCATCATAGCACCAGCGCACTATCACACTGACTATTTGAATAGAAAAGGTTGGCACTCCATTATCCTGCAAGCTGTTGTGGAATAAAAGGAGGGACTGTTCTGGAATTTGTTTGCTGGATTGTCAGGGAACTCACATGATGCCAGGGTTTTCAGACTGTCTGCGCTGTCAGAGCTAGGCAGCCGCGGAAACCTATTCCCACCTCACATCAGGAACATTGGCACAGTGGATACTGGCTATTACATCCTGGGTGACTCAGCTTACCCCTTGCTAGACTGGCTCTTAAACCCATTTCCTGACATTAGAAGACTAACAGCAGAACAGCAGTTGTATAACAAAAAACTGTAGTGCACAGGTTGTTGTTGTTGAAAATACTTTTAGTAGGCTGAAGTCAGTATGTTACCTTCTTAAAAGGAATGACTATGATATCAAACTTGTGAAGTCTATGGTGCTGACCTGCTGTGCTCTACATAACCTTTGTGAAAGTCACGCAAAGACCACACTGGTCCAACCGGATGCAGAAGCAGCTGCAGCTGCAGCCAGGGTGGGGAGGGTCACAGGATATATTGGAGGGCAGACATCTAAGAGATGCAGTATCTGTAAAGATTTCTTGACTTTTGTCGTGTACATATAATGCAATATGACAATGTGCACATTAAAAGTGCAAAAAGAAATCCCACAGAGCTATTTTCACAGAAACGTAGCTTCAACAAGCATCTGTTTTGCTCTGAAATTTTCATCTTAAATCATAAAAAAGTTTTTTTTGCTGAATTCCTAACTAGTATATTTTATATATTTTTGGTCCCTATGAACCTTTGCAAGTTGTAATATAATTTGAGTGGAATGACTTTGGGAAGTATAATTATGAACTATTAGGCAATTTTTCATGTGTCAACTTCATCATGAAACAACAAATATAACTTAGATAGTCCAGTAAATCAAAATATTCATTGAGCAAAAAAATTTCACAAGCTACCAGAAGCAAAACAGGAAGTGACATAATACGTCTCAGCGTGAACATCAGCTGTCAGCATCAGAAGTAAACAGTTTATTTACAGATAAACAGATTCTGGTCATCAAGTAATGTGTAAACACAAATTTGCTTCAAATATTCAGTTAAATATTTTTAAGAGACAAACTCATGAACTGTCCCTAGTCTGTCATCTTGTCGTGGTATCGTATCTTAGTTTATTAGAAATATAAATGAACAATATCCTTTATTGTTCCACATCAGGGAATTGCAGACATCATAGCAGCAAGTTAAGCCAAGTACAAAGAATACAAATTGTCTAAATATGTGAGCAGCTTTGGTACTTGCTCTGTACTTAGACCAAAAAATAAAAGAATCATGTTTTTGTACTAAATACAGTTTTATGAGCCTGATTATTTCTTCGTAACAAGTACAGCAGGCTGCTGTGTTGTGATACTCTGCGTGGTTCTAGGCCACAGCGGAGGTCTGGCTGGTGTAAATGCTGCAGATGGTGCAGAAGCCAGGGAGCTTGGAGGGTCCAAAACAACATTAATGGACAAACCATAACATGTTGAGACACTATCTACAACAAGGGAAAGAAACAGCCTCATAAAACATGCAATATTTACAGTGGGTAAAATAAGTATTGAACACGTCACCATTTTTCTCAGTAAATATATTACTAGAAGTGCTAATGACATGAAATTTTCACCAGATGTCRGTAACAACCCAAGTGATCCATACATACAAAGAAATCAAACCATAAATGTCCAGAAATGAAGTTATTTG